AACCCGGTCAGACTGGAGGACTTTTCTGCCTGCACAGGGAGATTTCTGCCATAAACGCTCAATGTTATTGGGGTACCCATTTTAGCTGCACAGAGTGTTTTCAAATGAAAAGCTGGTGATACAGCCTCCTGACAGTTTGCAGGGAAGGCTGACGTTTGGCAGTGACTGAGCAATTTGAAACAGCGTGAACATATTGCTTATCTAATGGCTCTTTTTGTCCGGAGGCGAAACAAACAGCTCTGGACCTGAAATGGTTTTCCGTATATCACATGAAGGGGAAACTTCCCCCCCCCCACCCCCGATAGCTGATTAGTTTTAGCCTCCTGTAAACAACAGAAACCCTTTTCTTCTAATAGCCAAGCTTTCAGGCGCCATCTAGTGTTATCCCTGCCCCCCCATCGCTGGGAACCTGTTACCTCATCAGTATCAACCGCAAACAGCGCTCGCAAAGAGACGTGAAAATCAAAGCCACGTCACTTCTGAGATGGCTCAGCCAAGCTTCCCTGGGCCAGCACCTGCAGAGGCTGTGTTGGGACCAAGGCTTAAGGATATAGGACATTTTCATGTCTGTGTGGATTTCAGAGAGGCGTGGAGCCATAGTCTGTAGCAGTGAGATACAAGAAGGAAGTGGTTGAATGTAAAAGCAAATCCAATGGTGAGGCTGATCCTGCTTGGAAGAGCCTCTGCCCTCCCATGTCCTTTGGTTAGTTTTCTTTGAGATTTAAGAGAGAAGTGATACCCTCCTCATCCCCAGAATCAACTCCTTGCTTTGCTTCAGTGCCGATTTCTCTCTTTGCATGGATTTGGCAGGGTGAGGGGAGACAAACAGAAACTGAGAAGGGACCCCAGTACATCAAAAGTAGGGGCGGAGGCACTTTGTATAACTGGCTTCTTCAGACAGTGTTTGCCACCTTCCGTAGTTTTGCAAGGCACGTGAGATGAGCACCAGTGGGTGCTTTCAGAGTCAGATTTGTCCTGTGCAGATGTTAAGATTCCCCCCCCCTTTTTTTTTTTGCATTACAGTCAGGTTTGCCCAATGGCATCTTTCCCCTAGCACTGATGTTGCTCTATCCCCTTGCAAGGAAGCATACGCTGGGAATGGCAGTGTCAAGTATATGTAAAGAGTGTGAGATCTTGTTGAAACAAGGTGCTTAGGGACAGTCAGGATTCTCCATAAAATGGCAGACTTGTTGGATTTGTGGGACATTCAAGATGCGAGAGTTCAGCCCATGCTACTTTCAGACATGTTTTATCCCAAAGGGTCTTGTGTAGGGCAGGTTGTCAATGTTCTTCCAAAGTTTGCTTTAAGCTGATCTGTTTGGGAGGGATTACTCTCCCACAAAAAACGCAGTTTCCCAGCACGTGCAGTCTGTGTGTTTGCCCTATCCTAAACAATCCTGTGTAAAACTATTGCTTCATCCCGCTAGAACTACTCCTGTGAGAGTCCTAAAAATCCATGTATGTCCTTTACGTGGCCCCTGCTGAGACCTGGTGTGCACTGAATGCACATAGCAAAGGCAGGATCTGCGGTGGGGCGGTGGGGGGACCTCAGGCTTTGGCTGTGTTTTCCTGGCAGTGAAGGCTCCCTTTTCTCTCCTTGCAGTGGCATGAGTTGGAGTTGGGGTTGGGCATCTGCCGGAAGCAGCATCTTAGCAGAATTTGGTACCTTGCACTTAGAATTCCTGCACCTCTCGGAGCTCTCTGGCAACCCGGTGTTTGCAGAAAAGGCAAGTACTTTCCAATTTGGTCTTTAGTGAATTGGTCCCTTCATACTCCTGGGGTCAGTGCTGGAGCAGAGCAGCACTTTGGTCTGCCTGCAGCAGACAGCATGGCAGCAAAGTGGTTCTTCTCCCCAGTACCAGTACAACTCATCAGAGGAGAAACCTTACAGAGCGGGAGATGGGTTCAGAAACCTGTGCCTTGCAGGCTGCAGAGGTCACCAGCCCTCAGACCATCCTATGCACCAGCTCACTGAGACGGTTGCAGCGAGCTCCTGTTGGAGATCCCATCACACCACTAGGCCTTGGAAGGCAGCTACCCCAGTGTTTTCTTGGGCCGTTTACATTTGCTGTAGCCCCTTCACCTGCCTCTCCATCACTTGCAGCCACTGGGGAGATGGGGATGTTTTTCCCAGTGTCTCAGTTGTGTGAAGTTGTAGCAAAAACTTACTCAGACAAGGGCACAGCCAAAATTAAACCATCTGTTGGATGCAGACTGCAAAGATAATTGTTAATTCTGATATCCTAATAGTAGTACCTTGTACTTGCAGACCTTTTTACTCTAAACAGACATTAAATGTTATGCTCCAGCCAGCAAGATTTCTGCTGAGGTTTGTTGTGTAGGAAAGGCCTGACAGTTGACATATTGGATTCCTTTTGTGTAACTTGTAACTGAAAATCTATTAATATTACACATTACCTTGAGCTTTTTTTTCCATGAGTGATCTTGTAGTGCATGTGAGAGCAACTTAATAAATATGCTGTTGGATACCAGCAAGTCATTAGCTTTCGCTGCACGTCCCTGAGGAACCAGCTTTGAGGGAGACAAATTGTTTCAGTTAGAATCCAAACTGCCCCCGTGAGCCCAAAGGAAATGGGGCCTGTCCGGAGTCCCACAGCGGGGTGAAAACAGACAGTGGTTCTGGGATTGCCAGTAAAAAGCTCAAAATGGTACTTTTCCAGGATATTTCCAGTGCAGGTCTGTCAGTTGTGAAACAAGAAGAGAATTTGGAGAAGAGACAGGAAGAAAGAGAAGGAAGAAGCTAGGAGAGCAAAATGGAGAATAGGATGGAGTGTATGGAAAGCAGTAAGGGTGGGGTGAGCAAGAGGAATGTCTCAGAGGGGTGAGCAGGAGAGAAAAGCAGAGGGTGAAGGAAAACTAGAAACCCAGGAA